TGAAAAGCCTTGAGTTAGTTTTGTTAGGGGATCCAATCCATGCGCCAGATTCCCATAGTTCTTTTTGTCACCTTCTTTGAAAACAAATTACCACCAGTTCACAGATAAGCAAAAAGGTGGTAATTAAGACCTACTCTGAGCTGGGGTATAGAAAGAAGCTAGTGCTCAGAGTGGGGTGTTTTGTGTTGGGAAGCTGTCAGGAATGTGACAGCTTCCCGTACTGGACTCCCTGTTTGCTCCAAAGCCGGCTACTTCCTTCAGCTGCTGCCTGGGAAATTTCTGATTGACAGGTGAATGTAAGCAAAGGGGCAGGGATTCTGGCTGACATTATTACCCGATATGGCAATGGTCATTTTTGACAATGACAGGAATCTCCTGGCCAACAGCTGAATAGGCAAGGAAAGAGTAATTGGTTGCTATGACACTGTTAGCTGCATAACCATCAACTGATGACATAGGGGCACTCTAAAAGTGGATGGAGCCTGATGGGGAACTCCGAGATACTAGTTCCTTATCAGGTCCACGTACCTTGTGGTTAACAGTGGACAGCAGTTTGTTGGCAGGTGCAGATAGATTGTCTGCCACTGGATGGCTCTTTTCTCAGAAAAACACTGATCACCACACTAATGCTAATTGGTCCTCAGGGTTCCACATCAGGCTCTGCCTACCCTACAAAAAATCTCCTTACATGACGTGCCTGCCTGTGTGATGTCGGTGGTTTCTCAAGCTGCACTGGGTATAGACTGCCTTCAACATGTACCTATTCCCAACAAGTACATGAAACTATAGGCAAAATAACATCCACTATACTAAAAAGTGAATCTCAAATATTCACTAAGATATCAATAAAATATTATTGAGATCTCAGTATTTGAGATTCTTTTTGGTGTGCTGCCAATTTTTTGCCAGTTTTTTTTTGTCTGATATCATGTGTATCTAAAACCAAAACCTTTTAAAGTTTATGGAGAGTAGGTAATGAAAAAACAATCCTAATAATTTTTTTCTGGCCATTTGCAGGATTTTTCCTTCGCTTATTATCCTGTATACACAACAGAATGCAAAAGGAAATATCTCCAAACTTAAGGAAAAATAACTTAAATAAATAAAATAGCTCTTAACAATATGTCACCTAAACAATTGTCCGTATTCTAAGATTTCCCCTTTATTCTTGCTGTAGTGGCAACTCATCAGGACAAATAGAAAGGGACAATCTCAATGGTGACACAAACAGCAATTATAACCTAAGGAACTGACCCCTTACCACTGCACCCCCCCCCCCACAAAAAAAAGAACAAAAAAGTAAAAAAAGGTTTTGGCTTTAGATACATTTAGGTGCAGGTAGACCTATACAGTTCAGTGTTGATTTTCACTTATTATAAGGGGGAGGGTATCATAGTTATATCTCCCGCTGAGCAGGCTTGTAAGATAAGGCAGGTTTCACCTGTGTTGGGATTTATCTATGTAATGCACTTCAGATACCTGATATTTAAATTTTATCTTGAATTTCATATCTGAGACCTAGTAGCACCTGCATTTGAATCATGTCATTATATCTTGCCTTTTTGGAATCTGGAAACATTTAAAATCTGGTTAGATTTATACATGCCAAGTAAAGGTTATAACAGTGCAGACTGTCAAAAAGATTAGATTTGATTATACCTGTATAACAATGCTATGATGTCACATGACTATTTTCAATAAACAGGAACAGAGATGAATTAATTAAACGAAAAACTGAAGCTGACAGTTTCAAATATATCACAATGAAAAATTATTGCTGCTGCCGTTGGCTTAGTGAAATGTAACAAAGGGGCGATCTAATAAACTAATAAAGCAATCTACTAAACAAACTGTGTCAGGTTTGATCTTATCTACTTTGTTTTTAAATTCTGCTACACATTCTACAATCTGGACAAATAAATACTAAAACATGTAATTATACTTTCAGTTTTCTGGACCAACTATTTAATGGAATTTTCCTGGCTTATGACATTCTGCAGGGAGTGCTGTAAACTAACTCATCCTCTTTTAAGCACCTAAGGGAAAGGAAAATTACAAACACTCCAGCAAGCATATTGGAGCAAATGTTTCTTACTTATTAATAAGCTAAACAGTATATGCCAGGCCCAAAAAAACGTATACCCTACATGTTAGTATAGATACCCAAACCTCCTAAATAGGGGTATGTTCTTTTTAACGTCTTACAATCCTCCATGTCAATATTCATAATCAATTATACTGTGGGCTCTCATAGACCTTTTTTCAATGGGTTATATCAAAGGGCTTTTTTTCTGCTTCTGTTTTTTTTTTTTTTACATCAAATTTAGAGCAAGCCTACATGGAGGTTTATCCCACCTAGGTAAGGTGTTCTCAATGTATTCACCAATTGTTTATGTTCATCATTGGTGGGTTTATAGATTTGAGAAGCACAGCTTTTAAATGGTGGTATGTCTTCACATTTTTTTGCTAATGTGGATTTTTTTGTTTTAATCTTAACACACAAAAAAGAAAATTGTGAAGATATGTTTTGCTGAAATGCATGTTTTTGCAGACTTGAGTGCTGCAAAGTTTTTGTATTGTTTCACTTCCAGATAATTTTGTCTTTTGGCAATATGTTGTCACTCTAATCCTTTTACATTTCTCAATGCCTTCACCTCACTCATACATGGTGCTCCACAGCAAGATAGATCACTAGGCACACCACTTGAACTCAACATCAATGTCAGCAAACAGGATCTCACACCATAATCAAAGTAACATGGAAGAAGAAAGCGAGCTCCATAGTGTAAAACCGTTACAGCAAACATTGTTTAAAAACAAACTTGTTTAAAAAGTGCAAACTCGCATAACAATTCTTGTATGATACCACTTGGTTTGATCACTGATTGTATGCGCAATAGCCAGCGAGTCCCCTTAATGATGCTGTCCCCCAGCGAAACCGGTTGGGACATTCATTTGCTAATTAATTGGACCTACTAATATTCTTATACTTATTTTTATTTTGTTATTTTTTTAGTTTCTGTATGCACCTATATTTTATCAGTATTTTTTTTTTAGATTAGCACTGCACGATATACAGTATATCTATGTTGTTCATTCGCTATCACAAATGTGTGTCAGCTGCTTTTAAATATTACCCTTGAGTGTGTAATGGATTTGTTTTATAGCCAAAACACATTGCAGTCCTTGAAGTCGCTATAGCCACATAGACTAAAGAGGTATGTGCAGTTGTAAGAAGTGGCAGAGGATATCAGCATTGTTACTGCTGATAGCCCTCCTCCAGACTATTTGTCAGTAGCTAACCATGCCATCTCTTCCCATAGTCCTATCGATTGACAGCTCGCTGCTCCCAGCTGAGATGATAAGCCCACACCCAAACTCCTTTGCAGCTCCTCCACCTGCAGTGGGTACTGGATAGGTAGTGCCAGCAGCAAATTAGGCATCATGGAAAGTGCAAGCATTGCTGAATCCATCCCTCCAATGTTTAGTTATGGCTGGCTTGGAAACAGCTATTCTAAATAATAATGTAAGTACAAAACAAAAGCATTCAGACAATGAACAGGGCAATTTATATTGGACGTGGTTTGTATTTAATTAAAATGGGAAAAATGGTGGGGTTTAGATGGACTTTAATCTTCAGTAATCTTCCCCTTTTTGATTGCACTCCTTTTCTAAGTCTGAATCCTTACTACATCACTTATAATGGAGGTTTCTACAAATCACCTTTTCCTCCACAGTTAGATTTGCTTAGATTGTTACGATTTGAAGGTTAGCCTCCAGTTGTCGTCACTACCAGTGCCACTTTTGCTTACAGAAACAGTTTGACAAAAGACAAGTGGAGACTGAGATAATAATGAACTTGCACACAGAGGAATAGTGCTAGAAAGGGACGAGGAGAAAAAGAATTGAATGGGACACAGGCTCAAAGTCACAGTGTCAGACTCTTCATCCTGCTGTGAAAACTAAACTCTATTTGACAATGTTACAAACTGGCAGGGATAAATTGACCTTCTACTACTTTGTGACAAGCTTGAGAACAGCAGAATTTTCCTGTTTCTGCTTACCCTTCCTTTGCCAATGCCACTGACATCTCTATTTTGCATGGAGGTGGCACTGGAGTGAAGTAATTTCTTCCTGTCTATTCCACTGCCACATTTTTTTCTAGATAACAATGTCATTTCCTTCAAATGGCTGGCCACTCATCAAACATGACAGCAGTGGTATACATTTTTCTATTTTACCTGACACAACGTGGGAGTATTTTAATGTCTAATTCACAAATGTTGAAGCTCCCTGCTGTACATCTTAGACAAAAATATATTTGACTCTTTATTTTGAAATTTTATCATAACAAAGTAGGCATGGCATAAGCAATATCTAATGGCCAACAGGAACTGAAAATGAATGAATAAGATGTATAGTTTTTTTTTTATTTATTGTACCTCATAAAACATATGTACTTTATTGCCAAAAGTATTGGGACACCTGCCTTTACACCCATATAAACATTAATGGCATCCCAGTCTTAGCCCATAGGGTTCAATATTGAGTTGGCCCACCCTTTTCAGCTATAACAGCTTCAACTCTTCTGGGAAGGCTGTCCACAAGATTTAGGAGTGTGTCTATGAGAATGTTTGACCATTCTTCCAGAAGCGCTTTTTTGAGGCCCTGATGTCAGACGAGAAGGCCTGGCTTGCAATCTCCACTCTAATTCATCCCAAATGTGTTTTATTGAGTTGAGGTCAGGACTCTATGCAGGCCAGTCAAGTTTCTCCAACCCAAACTCACTCATCGATGTCTTTATGGACCTTGCTTTGTGCACTGGTGCACAATCATGTTGGAACAGGAAGGGGCTATCCCCAAACTGTTCCCACAAAGTTGGGAGCTTGAAATTGTCCAAAATGTCTTGGTATGCAAACACCTTAAGAGTTCCTTTCACTGGAACTATGGGGTCAAGCCCAACCCCTGAAAAACAACCCCACACCATAATTCCCCTCTTTACTTTACACTTGGCACAATGCAGTCAGGTAGCACAGTTCTCCTGGCCACCGCCAAACCCAGACATATCTATCAGATTGCAAGACAGAGAAGAGTGATTCGTCATTCCAGTGGCGGCGTGCTTTACGCCTTTGCATCCGACGCTTTGCATTGCACTTGGTGATTTAAGGCTTGGATGCAGCTGCTCGGGCATGGAAAACCATTTCATGAAGCTCTTTACACACTGTTGTGGTAATCTGAAGGCCACACGAACTTTGGAGGTCTTTAGCTATTGACTCTGCAGACAGTTGGTGACTTTTGTGCACTGTGCGCTTCAGCATGCGCTGACCTCACTCTGTCATTTTATGTGGCCTCATCAAAAACCTTTTCTCCAAATCCTTATACCAAATACCCTAAATCTTACTGCAATAAATGTACAAAATTAAAGTCCAAAATGTCCACAAAAATCTTCCAAGTGTTGTGTGAAAATATCCAAATCGATTCACCACTCCAGATCCAGGATGCCTCAAAAATATGAAACTAAATATAGTGCGTTATCCTTAAAATTAATCAGTGGTATGTGAATCCATGCAAAACACTCGTGGAGAGAAAAAAAAAAAAGTATAAAATGAACAAACACAGCACTCTGTGAATCTCAAATTAAACGTGAATATCAACATTGCTAAAGATATGAATCCATAAAATAAAACATAAATACAAGTGAACAATCCGTGACTCCCGCACTCGTGAGGTAAATTCACAGCAAGCTGCACAACCTGTGATAATGTGCTAAATCAATGGTGCCACACCATAGTGGGATTCAACGCAATTACCCTCTCTCAGCTTAAACCAGCATACACAAGCACTCCAGGGTATTTTCAGCTTCCACCCTGCGGATATGCCCAATTCAATCTCCTCATAAGGGCAGAGAAGACAATAATCAGTGGAGTGTAAAGGGTAACATAACAGCTTTAATCGATTCTAACATTATCAAAAGGAAAAACCATCCATCCTGTCCAGCAGTTCTCACAGCCAAATTCCAATATCAAAGATGGCCACGCCGCTACTTCCAGTTTTGCGTCTGACATCACGTCTCTGGCGCATTTCGTCACTTCCGACTTCTTCCCTGGAGTGCTTGTGTATGCTGGTTTAAGCTGAGAGAGGTTAATTGTATTGAATCCCACTATGGTGTGGCTGATAAAGCCTATTAACTAGCCATCTTTTTGCAGAGTATTTCCCAGTTCCTAAAGTAGACCTTCAGGTCTAAAAGTGAGGATGTACTGTGTTAAAGGGGAGATTTGCTAAAACTGGAGCACTCGGAATCTTGTGTAGCTGTACATGGTAGCCAATCAGCTTCTAACTTCAGCTTGTTCAGTTATGCTTTGTAACTTTGTCAAGAAACAATTCTTAATATAGCAGGTCAACTCTTGGTATTGCTGCATATCTCCAGTTTTAGATCATCTAAGCAGTAGTTCTCAACCTGTGGGTCGCGACCCCTTTGGGGGTCGAACGACCCTTTCATAGGGGTTGCCTAAGACCATCGGAAAACACATATTTTTGATGGTCTTAGGAACCGAGACACCGCTGCTCTATCCGTCCCCAGGCGGGTCCACCCTTATGCAGATACGCCCACATACTCTGTTAAAAGCAGCTACTGTGTTGAAAGCAGCAGTATTGGAGGTAAAACGACACTTCATGAATTATAATTACTGGGTAAATGTAAAAACATGTACTGTAAAATCATCAACTATTGCAAAAAAAAAAAAATATCTGTACCATGGGAACTTAATCTGGATGCTGATCGGTCTTTTTATATTCAGCTGTGGTTGATGTGAATACTGCCCTCTTGTGATAGTAATTATGCTTTAATTATGTTCAATTTGTAACAATGAAAATACATCCTGCATATCAGATATTTACATTACAATTCATAATAGTAGCAAAATTACAGTTATGAAGTAGGAACGAAAATAATTTTATGGTTGGGGGTCACCACAACATATGGAACTGTATTAAAGGGTCGCGGCATTAGGAAGGTTGAGAACCACTGATCTAAACAATGCTGCAGTTAAGCGGGGACTGGCCAAGATTCGATCCATCTATAGGCAGGCTGGTTGTACTTAAGTCTATTCATCAATCGACTTCAGTACAACCAGCCTGTCAGATTTTTTTTTCATGCGACAATTGTCGGCATCTATAGCTACTAATAGTGATAATTGTGTTCTTCCAGAAGTGAAGGTTCCATTGGCAGAACACAATAACAATGTGGGAGGGATTCTTCCATCAACACACAACATGGTTAAAGGAAAGAAGAATTTCATAATCTATGGGCTGCTTTAGACTCGTGAGATTTGGAGTGAAATGTGGCAGTGTCACTACTGTGCTGCTCACTGTTCTCCTAGCCCACACACATGAGAAGGAAAAACCTACCTCTAAAAAGATGGCTGCCTCTAAACAGAGACACAAAGCACAGTATGTCATTAATGGGGAACGATCAGCTGTAGGAAGACCACAGGCAACACTAGTGACCATTCCTTTGCCCTCTGTCATCCTTTTTTGGGCAAAGCTTCCAGAGTTCTGATCATTTTCATTAATTACACAGTTAATGGGCAAAGCAACAAGCAATACCAAGTATTTTGAAGTATTGAGAAACATTTATATTCTGAAGAAATTCTATTATTTAATTATTTGGAAAAATATTTAATTAGAAAAAAAACACAATGATATAACCGAGCAGGCTAAAAAAAAAATATTTCTCTCCAGAGGGCAGAAGTTCTTGGAGCTATGGGTATGTGGTGCTTTGACAAGAGTACATACATCAGATTAATGATTGTTATCAGTTACAAATCTGTCTGTGTATAGTCACACCATTCATCACTTTCCTAAGCAAAAACATTTTTAGACTAACCAGTCATGTCCACAGGAATCCAATTATTTCACCTTTTTCTATATTAAATTATAATCAGCCTACAGCACCCTACCTGTAAACATATTTGTTGGTTTGATTAATCTCTCTATATTTCAGTCCTGTGTGCTCTAACTACACCAGTGACTAGATGCCTACTGCACCCAGCAGTAGATAACTGGGTGAGTAAATTACTGCTCAGGAGGAAATGTGCTAAGGACATATCATTCAAATAATGACAGCAGTACTACTTGTGCTGGGGGCTTCTGAGTCTCAGTAGGAAATACAAGGGTTTCTCTGTAAGTGTTTTTCTTCATGCAGACGATAACTTGATGAGTTTATAATTAGACTCATACGTATAGTAATTTACTGCATTTCATTCATCATTTCTGATGAATCGTGCATCATTTTAATAGCATTCAGTAACATTATGTTCATTTATTACTGTAGTGGAGTATTAGAAATTAGAAGCGATAGAAAAAAATATATTACCTACAATATATTCCCTACATTCCAATACACCTGAACACCTTGGCTGCCATTGGGCTCCCTCCAGGCTCATCTGCCCTCAGTCTATCCATTATTATGCATGTGCTTCTATGGAGGTTCTCAAAATTTATAGAGTTAGGAACTGCAGAATGTATAGATAAGTAAGAGAGTGAGCTGAACACACATGAATGAGAAGGGTGAACTAAGTTTGGGATTGAGCTATCCTTGCTGACTATTAAAGCCTCCTCCTTGGGACCCCTGGAGCAGACGGGAAATTCCAAAACCCAAGCGTGGGACTGGTATGGTGGCAGTGTGTCATTATCTTGTTTTCTGTTCCTGAACCAGAGTATGGACTGTTTTGTTCTTTTGCTGAATGGAGCAATACAAAGTCAAGGAACAATGAAAAAAGAAAACTGAAGATTAAGAAAGGAGGACCAACAAATTCAGTTTGCCAACCCTCAGACTAAGTTTTCTGATGGGGGAAGGGAGGTATCCAGCTTTTGAAGCTAAGAAGTGCACTGATAATGAAAAATAAATCTGACATTCACATAAGGTCATAATTTACTGACTCAGCCAACGTTCCAATAAATTAAGAGATAATCCCCAGCAACTATGTTCTCCACTGTGCTGGACAAATGAGACATCGTACTACACTATCAGATTCTTCTGTGTTTTGGCTTGTTACTCCCAAGCCCCCCCTCCTTCAAGGTAGAGAATGATGACCTGGTGGCCACTATATGCATGGTGAAACAAGCTCCCCCTGGTGGTGAGAGGATTACTTATCTCCTGGTACCTGGAGACCCTGAGGTTGAGACACTTGCTTAGCTAACGCAGGCCAGACAATCCTTGCTGTGATCCAGTACCCATAGGCGGATGACCAGGAGTTGGTTAACACTCAAATGCGCATTACCATTGCGCTTTCTGGTTAGTGCAATCTACATTCACCTCTGTGGGATGAACGTGGTCACAGAAGTCACTAATTTTCTCACCATCCTGTTTTGAGAACTTGCACTGTGCACCGCAGAATCACTTATGTTGGTTATGCTCAATAATTAGTATAGAGCATATCTTTGGACGTTAAAGACATTTCACTATCCCTCTACTAATTATCATTAAGCAGGGATTATACTATTATTATCATTCTGATTATTGCATTTTATTGTCACTTGTTTTTATTGTAGCAGTTTATTAGCGCTGCATGTTCTATCTATACATTTACTATGGAGGCTTCTGGGGTTTGCCTTTCATGCTAGTCGCTCTTTGGTTATTATCCAGCGCTCGTATTTTTTCTGTTTTATAAGGAACTGCAGAATATTGGGGTGCCATGAGGAGGCTCTGCAGCTTATGCATGTATTTGCAAATGTGTGCAAACTAAACGCCTGCTTTTAACGCAAACTTAGAGAGGACAATTTGGATGGTTGTAGGCTGGTCAGCAAGTTGAGCTGGTAATTGTTCTCTTTTATTATTTGACACCTGAACACCTTTACCTGTATGAACAGGACTGGATTTTCATCACTGATGCTTGTGGTCACACATCCTTGTGTGTCCAAATAAGTAAGGATCACTTTTGCGACACATAGCATGTTCTTACTTTGTGTGTAAATGAAAAGGATATGATTGTGTTTCTGTTAAAGAAATTATAAAGGAATGTAATTTTTTTTTTCTATTCAGAAAATCAAACGTCAATTGCTTAGGGAGTTTTTTATAAAGGAATGTTTTTGTTTTTTTTTACAAACACATCATACTTACCTGCCCTGTGCAGTGGTTTTGCATGTAACAGCCGTGATCGTCCTCTTCTTGGGTCCTCCGCCATCACTCCTGGCCCCTCCCTCCTCCCAAGTGCTTCACAGAGCGAGCAGATTGCTATGCGGCACCCAGGCAGGCTCACTCCTGAGCCACTATTCTGCCTGTACATTCACACGCATAGCGATTGCTCGGCCCAACCATCTCTCTCTCCTCATTGGCTCACTGGC